GATCTACTAACAATAACTACAATGGTAAGATACTGACTACTATACTAATGGATAATATACNCTGTTTGAATTATATATACTATCAACAACAAGAACCTACTGGTAATAAAGGATTAGATCTAATCACAGATTGTTGTAAGTTCAGTAATATACTATTCATTATATTTTTATTAATGTTAAGCTGACAAAAAATTTGTTGAATTTATTAATAATTCTATGACTCCATTACATTGGAAAGCAGTACTAAAGATCAGTGAGTAATAACAATTACTGTACAAATATACTTGAATCCATTTATAGAAAGAACCATACATTGGGGTATACTGCATTTGACAGTAACACATAACTTCAAAAATTATACTAATATTACTTTCTTAGATGACAAATTCAATTTATGCGACTTTTTAGATGATTTAATTAAGGAATATTGTCCAATACATCCAGGAATGTATTATCTAAACACTCATACTGCATTGTCAAGCCACCTTTGGCCAGTGAGCAACAGATATACTGTATTATTATAACTATTCTATTTCATAGGGTGAGTATTATGGTAAAGTAACTGCTTACAATGAGAAAGGAGAGCAAATGATATGTCTAATGAAACAAGGGACCATTAAATAATGAACATATTATGAAATCAAAGGTATAGTTATACTTTATACACTACTATGAACTTACTTTACGTTAACAAAGTGTCTAGAGCAAAATGTCACAGTTGTCTAGTTTGTGAGTCTGGTCATAAAAACAGTATGCAAAACAATCTGTAAAATGTATGTATGTTATTTCATCGAAGTGCAAAACCTATACTTCACTGTGTTTAGTAAACAATGTAACTTAAGGGAAATTGGCATCATTTTACAATACATGTACAAATGAATGCCAATCGGCAGTAAAGTAATCAAAGGACATTTCTTTAGTAAATCTATTCTGTGATTTCCTTTTTTATTTAAGATCTCATACTGTGCCAAATGCCTTGTTAAACTAATATGATACACACAGGATTTCCAATAATGCATGCCAAGTGAGCTAAAAGCATGCTTCAGGAGCTGACAAGCACTAAAATGCAGTAGCAACTTTTAAAATCTGATTTTAATCAGAATGAGCTCAAAATTTTTAGCAACATAAGCACAAGTATATGCATCAGAAAAATAGAGAAGTTTCACATTTTCATTTTTGATTAAATTGGACCAAAGTTTCTGTGCTAAACAAAGGGTATCTGATTTTTTTACAACTTTAAAAATTCATAAAAAATTAAATTTTAATTGGAATGAACTCAAAATTTTTAGGCTACATAAAAATATATATAAGCATCAGAAAAAAATTATAAAATGGAGAATTTCTACTTTTTTATTTTTGACAAAATTTGACAAAATTCTCTGTACTACAGTACAGGGATTTTCGCCCAATTTTTGTGCAACTTTAAAAATAATTCATAAAAAATTATATTTTAATTGAAATGAGTTCAAAACTTCTATGCAACATAGGAACATGTATACATATCAGAAAAAATTATAAAAGTAGAGAATTCTCACTTTTCATTTTTGACCAATGTCCCTATAGTCTAGGTCTTTGACCAGATTTCTTAACAACCTCAAAATAATACTGAAGAAGCTGAGCACTATGCCAAAATCCTTCAAAATCTCAAAAAATTATTCACAAAATATTTTCAGTAGTAAAAAACTAATGCTGCCATAAAAATCTGTTTTAAAAAATAACACTAAAACCATTTTGTCAAAAGTATCATGTTAGTTGAATATCATGTATCACACAAATATATTATAACACACATTGATCTATTTAACTAAATCAGCAAAAAAAACTATAAAAAATATAAAATTGATGACTACAGACAAATTAAATGAACAGGACAATTCCTAACAGCAATGGAAAATGCATTAACAGGTATTAAGTTGTATTTTCATAATCTATGTTTAAACATGCAAATGTCTCAAATTAGATTAAATAACTATAGCTAATTATTAAAAAGAAAATGTTTATGCTTCACTATTTCAATCATCTTTAGCAACATCAAAAAAGTCGATCTCAATTTTCTCCACAAGGTGCTTACGTCGAGCAGAAAGTTGACGATCAAAACGAATATTATTAAACTCGGACATCATGAACTCATCATCAATAGAAAATACTTCGTCTTCAAAATTTGCTTCATTCTCAAGTATTATATTATCAGTAAAATCTGTCTGTTTTTCATTGGGCATATTTTTTCCTCCAAAGCTTAAAATTGCATTTCTTGGTACGTTTTTCTTCTGCAGTGACATGGTTTTGCTATTTAAAGTTTTGCTCTTAAGAGTGGTCGATGTCTGTGGTTTCATTCCATCTCCAAAAGCTCCAGGGCAGAGAAGCGATTTCCAAGCATCTCTTGAATCACTGCTCAGGATGATAAAAAAGAAGAATATAAAGAAACCTTGAAAAGCATTGAAGAAAGCAAAAAAGAACTGAACTATGAATGAAGTGTTGGGCTCAGAAATGAATGTGAAGACAGCAGATACCCACGTGAGACCGAACAGCATCAAAATACCGGAGTATGATAGTATCATTTTTATTGCGTCAGATGTTTTGAGTGAAGATTTACTCATTCTCTTGTTTTTACGAATAGTGTGGAGAATAAGAACACGAATAATGATGATGTATATGATAACGTTGAAGATAAGTATGATGAAGACTGGAAGTAGAAAAGCAGCAAGAAAAGGGATCATGTCACTAATGAAACAGCTAATGAAGAAAAGTTCAATAAAGCATAATGCAAAATAAATACACTGCCACTTACAATCCAGACTGGTTTTCTGGTTCGTATAAATAAATATAAAAATCAACATCAACTGCTAATGTGATTATAACTGGCAAGAGTGGTAGAGCTAATAAAACATGAAAAATCATTGTTATACAATCATATTCTTACTCCAGCATATCAATGAGATACCAACTAAATATTTCCATGTTATGTCTGTGAATACAATCACTAGTTTTTGAAACATTAGTAAAGCCTCAGCTCCCATCCACATCCAAGCAACAAGAGCAAAGTAATGAATGAGAGCACCAACTGTTATACAACCAGCTCTCACTGATACTCTATCAATACCACTGACAAATACTGCTAGCATGAAAATTAATGAGAGGCAAAGTTGAATGTGGAATTTGCTAGCTTCTCTTGTTCTTAGTTTTCTATTACAAAAAACACAACTATAATTTAAGAAGTACAGTAATTGCATGCTCACTTGAATATAGCTAAAGTGATAATTGTTAGTACTAGTCCACCTATTGAGAGACACACACCAACAATTGATACAACTTCTAGTGTAACAGTGACATATTGAGGAGGTTGGGTAGGTTCATTGACTCTAGCAGATACATCCTATAAAAAGACATTGGGTAGCTGTAGATGTAGTGTGTGTGATTGTGAATTTCTCACCACAAGACAAGCAAAATTAGTCAAATGATCACAATGACAGGCTATAAAACTAAGATCATCATCAGTAGTATTAAATGTTGTATTGCAACCATCAGTAGACCAATTACCCCTGCCACCTACATAGTAGAAACGCCCACTATAAGCTTATAGGAACTGTATGTTATTTTAATTTATACCTGCTGTAGTGAAATTCCAGTACACACAGCGAGGGTTACTAATATTCTTTAATATCAGAGAATAATTATAATTATCAATACTTATTTAATCACTTACAGCTACTCTATTCAGAGACAAAGTAATGACTACTGGATCAGGTAGTTTAGTACCATCAGCCACTCCACCAATTCTTGCACCAATGACTGATGATCCTACTATTGTATTAGGGGGAGGATCTCGAACAGGAAAGAGTACTGATTGATTGTACAGTGTGAATGATAAATCAATGCTGTCACTCTGAACAATATTTCTAATGCTTTGTGGCAATCCGATTGATGCTATTCTGTTAAGATTCATTTCATTTGCATCATCGTCTTCTACTTGAGTGTCAACTATCAATCTATTATCTATGGTTGTGTAATTAATATAAAGCAATATAATATAAATATCATAGCACTTAGGAGATTTTTGTTTTAAATCAACACAATAAACCATAACAAGAGTGAATAATTCACTCTTGACCATAATTTATCTCACAATGTTATAACTAAAGATTATACTAACCAAAAGAGGCTGCAGTGAATACTATTCCACTAAATTCTGATTGTTGAAACTATAAAACTAAATTAAATCAGAAATCACAATCAAGACTCACTCTTTCTCCTTTTAAAGCAATGTCATCTTCTACAATTGTTATATTAGTAAAATTGTCTTGATTTATTAAAGCATCCACAATCTTCTCAAAAGAATTGATAATGCTATAAAAGGGTCAATAATAATATTTTTACAAAATCAGTTTGATGTTACTTGTTAGATTCTGTCTCCAATACATTTGGTGACCATTCCTCAATGCTGTCTAGTATTTGCACAGTATTCTCTGTTGTCTTTTTAGAATATTATGAGGCATAACATAAGTTTAATATAAATAAATTCTTACCATTGACAGCTCTGATGATGACAGACTCATGATTACCATAGGATTTGATAGTAGTGTTGCTGTTTGGTTCAATATGGTAGACACTACTTGAATGTTGTCAGTATTCTGATCAGCAGTATCAGTAGTACTGCCCACTAGATCAGTTAGGTTCTCAGATACTGTTACTACATTGTCAATAGTAATATTTATCTATTGAATGCAATTAAGTAATTACATCCACACACCACAAATCTTCATTACTTTTGATATGTTTCTAAATTCACGAGATACCTCAGTGGTTGCACAGGATGTTACATTAGGCGATTCCCATCTGCTGTTAGTAACACATCTTCTAGTAGCGACAGCTCCAGTAGGACCATTAGGACATGACACATTAACTGTACTGCCTGATATTGTAACCGGCCATTCAAATGTACCACGATCAGCACTGACTGTAGTGTCCATGATACAAGTATTGGGATCTAAAGAATTTCATATTAAACTATTATAAATTGTATGGAGCATATAATGCACCATGTGCTATATTACACACATACAAGTACACATTCTAATACATAAAACACAGTCTATATTAATAAATACATGATTTTATAAATAACCTGGAGAGACTACTTCAATGGGTTCACTAGTAGGTCCAGCAATAGGTCCCTGGCCTGAACCATCATCAACAGAGAGACCCATTGATACTCCATAAGTAGCCTGACCATCAAGATTAGTAGCAATAAAACTGGTATCTCTATAAGGGATTCTGTATACTAAATCTCCTGTGGTCTGCCTCTTTCTGCTGGATCTTGTCAGTCTTATTGTGTATTCAAAGAAACCACGGGCTTGTTCAAGAGACACAGCATTCCAAGTAATAGTCATATTAGTACCATCAGCAGATCTGATCCCTCTTATGCCTGATGGAGATACACTAGGAGCTAGCATTAGAAAGAAAAATAGAGAAATGATAAAAAAAGAGAAATAAAGAAAAATATCACATTCATATAAAAAGGACTATATATATTCACAATTGAATACATGTAAATACAAAAATTACATATACATTGCACATAAACAGTGTGCACTCATGAACTTACTCAAAACTCTAGTAAAGACAGTAACCTCAACTGGCATTCCTCTACCAAACTCATTATAAGCAGCCAGAGTGACATTATATGGTACACCAGGAGCTAGAAAGACAACAAATAAAACATGAAATTGATATGTACATGCAGTGAAAATAGTTTTGTTATGGTCATGTTTAATGACAACTGAGTTGTCCAATAGAATGTTTGATAATCATGAATGCATATAAATTTGTACTTACTTAATATTGTAGTATTAGTAATCAATTCCATAAAAGAGTTTTTGTTAACATCAGTAATTGTACGTCTTATCAAGTTATTTCCATTAGTATATCCATCAACATCAATAGTATAGTTCATAATGCGTCCATTTGGTGTAGTAGGAGGAGACCATGTCACATTAATGGTGTGATTATCCACTGATGGTAATGTAGTGAATATTGTACCAGATATAGTAATATCCCTCGTTACCAATAGAGGAGGACTAGACACTATAAAATAATAATAAGAGATGATAAAGTTTTAAAATTATTGTGATTATAGTAAGAATGAAAAGAGAATGTTTATGCAAGAGAAATAGACTCACTGTCTGGTAGTGTTCTTCCTGCAGTAGTAGATATAGGTCCAAACCCAATGACAGTGCTAGCAGTAACAGTGGCAGTGTAATTATTATAAGCACTCAAGAATCCTTCCTCATTAAGTGTATACATTAATTGATCAGAAGAGATATTCATAATGTGAAAAGCATTTGTTTCTAAGTTAGTAACTCTGAGTTGATACCCAGTGATTATTCCATTAGGTATTGATGGTCTGCTCCATCTAAATGTAACTGTTGTCATTGTTGGGGTAGAAGTAAAGTTCTGTGGTCCATCATCAGGTCCTTATAGAAAGAAAAAGAAGAAAAAGGAATAATTATTATCAATACAGGTACCGGTAAGTGAAAATTGCACCCATTAATGAAAAACCACCACAATGCACATGTATAATATAACTTACTATCTTGTGCTGTTTCAAAAGTACACTGGGTAGGGGGTCCTACTCCTACTATATTAATAAATGACAGCTCACAAGTGTAACTAGTAAAAGGCGTAACATTAGTAATAGTGAATGATGTCCTTGTTGTAGATCGTGTTTTGAATCCATTGATTGATACACCATTAGCATTCATACATACTAAATTATAACCAACTGCTGCTCCATTTTGATTTATTAGTGCTGGTGCAGTCCAGGTAAGAGTGACATCACGTGGCAAGAATGTTATATTAGCACAATTCATTGGATCCCCCACTGGCACTGTACAGAAAGTGAAATATTAAAAGAAGACAGATATAAAAATGGAGAGACAAAGGGATTATGAACAGCATCATTGAATAAGGTAAAGACAGAGGAGGGAGAGAAGAAAAGAAAGGAAACAAAAAAGCATAAACACATTCACTTACATGTTGGGATTGTTCTAAAGCTCATCTCTGCAGTACTAGTAGTACCAAGACAATTGGTAGAATCAATTATATATGTATAATTGGTATCTTCCTCAAGGCCAGTCAAGATGATTGTAAATTCTTGGTTAGTTGCAGTGATGTTATCAGAGCTCATTTTTATGATAGAAGTTTGTTCTGTTGTTTGTAAGATTGCTCCAGTATACTTAACACTGTAGTTTTCAGGTGTATAGGCAATGTTAGGTATTGTGAATGATATAGCAGCAGTAGTAGCATTAAGACTAGTTGTTCCTGGAGTAGCTGTTACATTAGTAGCAGTAACAGGCAAAGTTTGAGCTAAAAACAGGAGAAGAAATAAACAAAGGAAGAAGGTAGAATTGTACAGAAAAGCATACTGCATTATTGGCATACATATATGCACTGTACATTGTATTCATACATGTATAATACTTACGTCTTATAGTCACAGTACTTTCCTCACTAGTAGTGATATCAGGTGAATTAGGTATAGTAATACTAGCAGTACATCTATAAGTACCAGAATCAGAAGCAGTACTTGTGGTGAAACTCAATATATTAGTAACAGTGGTAGTCATATTCCCTCCAGTAGTAGTCACAGAACCAGTTTCTATTGTACCATTATGAGTCCATGCTATTACCAGGTTTGGTATTACTATGGTTGGTTTAGTGGCTGTACAGGTAAGAGTGAAGTTATCATATGGGTCTGAGTCAGAACATGATGTCTCCAGACCCAGAAATGAATCAGGAGAAGCAGAGAAATTTCCAATCAATGGATCTATTAAATAAGAAAATTAGATAATTAATTAAAATAGATACCTATCAAAATTACTATCAAATTTACAGACTATATCAATAGTGATTAGTAATTGTAAATTAATTGGACAAGCTCACATGCAAAAAGAGTGATTGCTCAAAGATGAGAAATTTAATAACTGTTTGGAATTAGTTTAACATTGGGCATTAATATTTATACATCTAGGTGTCCCAATATACTAACATATAATATTAATATCAGGGTTGATTTGGCACAGGGACTTTGGCCCAATTTTTGAGTAACTTTAAAAATTCATAAAAAATTCAATTTCGACCAGAATCAGCTCAAACTTGCTACACAACA